GTACAGCAGGAGGTGGGGTGGGGAGGCAGGAGAGGATGGCTACTGCCTGGGGAGGGCTCTGTGTTGTGGTCTTTGTCATGAGGGCAGTGGGGAGCCATGCAAGGTTTTATGCAGGAAAGGGTATGGGCAGATTGAGATCGCAGAAGGATCCCACTGGTTGCCCTGTGGGAGGACCCAGGGAGAGGTAGAGGTTGTCCCTGTCTGAGCAAGAGATGAGGGCTGCTGGTGGCCATGGGTGGAAAGGGCCAGGCAGAGGTGAGGAGAAATCCAGAGGGCTGGTGATGAAAGGATGAGGGCGGGAACCAAGATGGGATTAGGGCAGAGTCTGGCCTTCCTCTCTGCCTGCCGGCCCACCAGATGATGTTCCCTGTGTTCCTGCGTGAGCCAGTGCCCCCTGAGACATTGGCAGCCACTTTGGCTGAGCTGGACAGGTGCCTTCAGCTGCTTGAGGACAAGTTTCTGCGGGACCAGGCCTTCCTCACTGGGTCCCATATCTCCCTGGCTGACTTGGTAGCCATCAGAGAGCTGATGCATATGAGTACCACGGGGTAGAGAGGCCTGCTGGGCAGTGGGGTGTCCAGGGAAGGAGCCAAGCTCCCACCCACATTGTCATTTCTGGCTGTGGGGACCCTGAGTGAGTCACTTCCCCCACTGAGCCTCAGTGTCCTCATCTATGAAATGGGGCTTCACAACCCCTCACCACAGGAATGTTGAGGAATTTCCCATTGTCCCCTGGGAGAGGGACACCCCCCCAACCCATCGCGCACGTGGTGGGGGAGGGAGGATCCAATCAGGGAGTCCCTAATGCAGGTCATGCTGCCTTGTGCTTGGCTCTACCCGTAGCCTGTTGACGCTGGCTGCCGAGTCTTCGAGAGCCGACCCAAGCTGGCTACATGGCGCCACCACATGGAGGCTGCGGTGGAGGAGGATCTCTTCCAGGAGGCCAATGCAGACATTCTAAAGCTCAAGGACCTGCCTCCGGCAGACCCCTTCACGAAGGCGAAGCTGAGGCCCTCAGTGCAGGATTTGTTGCAGTGAGCGGGTGGCCTGTGCTGGCAGAATACAGAGATGGAGCTGCCTATCTCCTTGGCTGTAAGGACCCCCCGTCTGAATGGGCTCTGGTCCCTAGTACCCTCCAGGCATCGTGCCTGTGTGTGTTCCCTTTGTCTCCCCATCCCACTTTTCCCCTTCTGTTCCAGCTTCCACGTGACCTCTGGAAACTGCTTGAGTAAACACTTAGTGGACCTTGCCCTTCTGTGTGAAACTTTCTGCAGTTCCTCACAGGCTAAAGCATAAGGCATTGAACTTTGCTTTAAAGCCCTTGCCCCTACACCTCCAGGCCACCCCCTTCTGGCCACACACATTTCAGACCCCTCTCCCAGTTCCCATCTCTGCCTCCTGGCCTTGGCTCCTGCCGTTCCCTCCTTACCTTTTTTGCTTGGTAGATCCTCCTGGACTTTTGGCATTTGGCACCCTATGCCTCTCCAGGGAGACTTCCCTAACCACCCCCCCCAGCCCCAGCCAAGCTCAGGCGACCCCTCTGGGCTCCTCAGCCCCATTGTTTCCCTCCCTCAGTCTCAGCAGGCTTAATGCCCCTGGGCTGTGCATGAATCACAGATGGGGGCCGACCTGATGGAGAGATGTCTGAGTCAGATATGACCTCCATCTCCTAAGTCTCCCTCTGGGACGATGCTGCCTCCCACAGGTGGGGCACAGGGCTGGGTTCACAAACCTCCTTGTGGGGAGGGAAGCCCCTGTTACTCCTGGCCCCCCACGTGCCGCTGAGCAGCTTTGCTCTCCCAGGCCTTGTAACCCTGACCACTGGCTTCTCCATGCCCCACTCTGGCTCCCAGACTTGTCACCTGTCCCTGTGCTCTCCCCTCAGGACTGTCACAACCTACTTGTCTTGTGT